TGCCAAGCCGAGTAGACCTTTGATGTGATGTCGGAGTGTGTGTATATGCGTATGTATGTATGTATGTATGTATGTATGTTTGTGTGTGTGTGTGTGTAAGTGCGTGCGTGCGCGCGCCCGCCCGCCAAAACGGCCTTTGGCACACACTGAACGACGAACACTCTCGCCGATCTCCCCGTAAAGCCGTCTCCGGTCCCACTCCGCGCGGGCCGACCCGACAATCTCGCATAGTAGGGGTTCGCAAAGGTGACGCGGCGCGTTGGATAGGCAATTCAGGTGCACGCGCGTCCTCCGGCACGAACGAAACGACTACGATGTCTGTATATAGTACGGATATTATTATTATTATTACTATTACATTTCGGTACACTGCAGACGCGCGGGCGCCGCTGCGCGAACGTCCCCGGTCGTATATTATTTATATTACATATCGTATGCCATCTCGCGTGTCGACTTTCGCCGTGTGCGTATAATATATTATGTATGTAGATATATTATGTGTGTACGTGTGTCGTACAGTTGCAGTAATGTGCGTACACGGAACACGCGGGGGCACTCGTACGATATTATTATGGCGGCCACGTCCATGTACGAGTGACAACGCCGATAACGTTTATAACAAGATTCCATAATTCCACGCATGTGTATGTGTGAGTTTGTGTATGCGTGTATGTACAGTGTACTGTGTAGGTGTGTGTGTGTGTATATTATACACGAGTTCGCGTTGAGCTTGACCCAATTGTTGTAACCTCTCCTAACGACGACGCTTGATTTCGAGGCGCTTCGTTCGGTATTGCACCCGCGGCGCCGCTCGAAAGTTGCTAAAATTGTATATTTCGTTCTCCCTTATCAATATATAGGTACCTACACGTTTTCCGACTGGCGTGTAAAAAATGTAACAATATCGGGAATGAACCTTATTGACGGCCCATTCCCACCGTATACCTCTATCCCATGGGCCACGGGTTCAATTATATATATTAATGTTGTTGTATATGTATAATATGAAAATATAATTACACTTCCGTATACGTTACATAAAACTACAAAAGTCGTATAAACAATATATACCTGTATATAAATTGTAATAAAAAAATGTTCCATAATATATTATAATTGGCATGCGTCTGAACCGAAACGTGCGTGCGTTCGAATAAACTTAGATTTTCCGACGATTACCTAACGAAACAATACCCAGTCCACGCCGAACATAGGTGGTAGGAAAGTCGCAGTACACGCGGTTTGGGTAGGACACTTGCATAGCTTTAACGTTACGCAACGAGCAGTTGGATGGATTTTTAATCCGATTGATGCGTGTACACACATTATGAACTATTTACACGGGGAGAGGGTAGGCATGTATTATGCGTACCTACTGTTCTTCGTGGTGAGGATATTCTACGATTACACTCATAATAACTGGGCATTTATGGTGTCAGCTGTCCCGGTTGTATAGTAAAATGTATAGTTTTAGAGTCTTCGCGTTAAGCCTCATACAATATTATAATTTATACTTATTATTGTTCAAGAAATGAATGCTACGCGTACGGTTTTAATTATCAAGCAACAAGTTTTCGAAAGCACTGAAGATATTATAATATTATATATTTTTCATATTATCATTGCTATATCTTATGTTTTTTTTATATCTCTTCGCGGGATTATGCATTTTATTATTTTCGAAATAATAGGAACAATTTCGCTCATTTATTCAATGGTTCTTCAACACAACCTCTTGGACTTTGCGCGTAACTACTAACTCGACATTCGTATTATGTACACCACACCACACAGTGTATATTACTTTTTTATGGGAATTATATATCATAGTATATGTATTACATCTTGGGTACATAATTTTTATTTTTATTATTCAACAGCACTAACACGACTATAAATACAGTGAATGTTAAATTTAGATCGACGTATTAATGTTAAACAACATAGACAAAATATAAATAACGTAATAAAACTTACTTTTAACCTTTTTAATACAAGGTGTATCAGGAACATATGACAATTTTACATTTAAATTACGTTTGAATGTGTATGATCTTTGTTATACTCCACAATTTCATAGGTAACATTATTAAATGATGCAACTTATTTGAGTTTTAAAGTGTAATTTAATTAATTTACATCTCGATGTTTGGTTGAATATTAAATAAAGTTTTATAGAAAATAAAATTCAAATTTATTTTTTAGTATTTTAAATATCCATAAAACAAATTAAAAACAACAAAACGATAAATTATAAAATCAATCATGTGATTTTAATTCGGTATATGGGTGATATAATATAATTATTAATAAAAAAAAGACAAATATTGACATTGATGTCGTATAATATATTATGTTAAGTATGTATAATATATTACCTAGGTATTTTAATATGTGTCTATAGAATTCGTTCATTTTTTTAACAATTTATTACATTTTTCTAAAATTGAACACGTCTTGTTTAAAACAAATTAAGTGATATAATTTTTATGATTAAAATTTTATTTGATTTTAAATATTGAAATAGATAACCTTTTGAGATTGGACCATTTAATATTTTTTTCAAAAAATAAAATAGTAGCTCAATTATTTTTAAGAGTATCGTAGTGTTCCTAAAATTAATTTTCCAAGATAAGTACGTAACACGTAAGTAAATAGGTAATAATTAAGGGTTTTTGATCACTACATAGATTATTAAACAATTATATATTATTTAATATAAATTGTCGTTTTACTGTAATTAAACCACTATTCTACTGAGCAATCAAAGTTAAAATACTGAGTTATTGCTTTACACTTTAAAAAAATTCCATAAAAAAACTGTATAGATTAAACTAATATATATAATACATATTGGTATCATTTGTATAGCTTATTTATAACATAATTACATTATAATAATAATTTGTAAAATAGGTATAAATTTGGTTAAAACTTAAAAAGACTGGTATATTAATTTTCACTAACTATGTTTATATCTAATTGATGGAAAAAGTTATGTAATAAATAGTTTTGATGTCCATTTCGTGAAAAAAAATATCCTGATCGCGTAATTACAACAATTACATGATGACATGTTGTGTAGAAAACTATATTCTGTTTCACGATATTTATGGGCATATATAACGCATAACAATGTGATATATATATTAAGTTTTTTCAGTTAATGGTTTGTGGATAGCAATGTTTTTAAAAACCTTAGTTAGGACCAAAAGCATTTTTTTTTTATAAAATCACAATAAAAGCATAAATAAACTTACTATAAGCAAAAAACTTAACATTAAAAAAAAATCATTGGATTTTGGTTAAATCTAAATGTGTCTAATATCGATATTTAAGTAAACTATGTATTATATGTTTATAATATTATGATAGCCTCTTCAATGACTTACCTCATTTTTGTTTTAAAATACGTGCATTTTTGTTGGCTATTGGACCACTCATTTTAATTTATATTCTCAATAATAAATTTATATCTAATTTGCATAATTATATTAATCAGTTATTTATAGTGATTTAACAACCTAAAAAGAACTTTATTTTTAATATTTGATTAATACAAATTTCAAAATATTTAAATGTTTATAATATTGTACTCATGATATTATCATGTTAGTGAGGTTTTACAGTAAAACATAAGATGTATTTTTAGTACCTCCGAGTGACTAAATGGGTAATATTTAATTTTTGGATAATGATTGTAAAATAATTTTCAAAATGTAAAACAATGGACTTGGTTATAGGCTTTACTACATGACGTATTTTCAAAGATTTATAAATATTTATTAAATAATTATATAATATACACTTTTATTATCACCCGATAGGTATACCGTTATTTGTATGCATAAATGATTATTCACGATGTTGTAAAAATTGATTTGCTTTCATATTTTGTGTTCGAAATGTTAGCCTTTATAATTATATTATAATATATCTTGAACATTATTCAAGTGAGACTTTTATCATAAATCTTTTATGCGAGTTAATATTATTACGTAGATACCTATATAGACGCCGAAAAATAGATTTCAATTGACTGTCGGGAGGACGAGAACATTAATAATAAGTACACAACACCGAATACTATTGTATTTTTGTGCGACTACAGTGACTATACTAAAGTCAATTACTATAATATATTATTATTATTGTATACAATGAAGTGTAATATCTGTATTTAGTAGACGTTTTAATTTCGTGCACACTATATTGTGCGCATTATGTTCTCACAGTGTAACGAACAGCGTGCGTTTAAAATACTATGTAGCGAGGGCAATAAATACACCTACAATGTTTAGTAGCCCTGACCGTGATATGGTCCCGTGACGTCACGGGAACCATATATACCCCCATCGATCGTGGGCGTTGTTAAAGCATCCAGAACAATTCGCTGGGCTGCGGTTTATAAACAGCGCTATTGGGTCAGTTTTTTTTCTCCAAATAAGAAGAATTATCGAAATCGGTTTCTAATTGCTTTTGATAACAATGTGCTATTTTAAATGGTGCATAATATTATAATGGCATCGACATATTTTATGAAATATGTAAAAAATAAATAAAAAACTATTGGGTTTTTTTTAAACCTTAATTGTCATTATAGTATCTAAACTATATTGTTGAACGAACAACAATTTGATGTATCTTATAAAATACCTATTATGCTTGTATTATTAATTTAAATGTATATCCTATATAATGTTGTACCTGTTATTTAATATACTGCTTAAGAGAAAATAAATGTTACTGCCAATATTTTCATAGAATTTTTTTATTTTTACTTTTTACATTAATTTACAACATTATCATATTATTTTGAATCAGGAGTGTAGACATTATACAAACATTAAACATCACTATCGTACTCATAATTTTAAATTTGTGATTTTTTAGAATTAAATAGATTTATTAAAGTTTAATATTTTATAATATTGTTTCATGCACAGAGAATGGGGGATGACGGTGGAGGTTGGTGACCAGAACAGTCGCAGGGGTTGGAAATGGGCAACAAACTGAGCTCCTGCGGACCTCTAATCAAAAAATCATACAGATACGATGACGTTGCGGGACCATTTCAAAGCTCGTCGAGAAGAAGAGATGGTCATCTTCTTAGGTGATTTAACTATGATTTAAATAATTATAAGTGTAATGACTAAAGATTCTAATAAAATAAAATAATAAAATAATTCAAATATTTATCAACACATAAATAATAAAAAATTAATTTTATTGAAAAAGTAAAATAAACCACACATTTTAGAAGAACAAATAATGATTATAATATTATGGATATAACTTTGATACCTATTTCACTTAACACTTATATTATTTTAAATTAGATCAATTTACATTTATTTACAAAACGCAAAACTAATTATAAGAAAATCAAATTATTTCTACCCTGTTGTGAAACTACGTACAATATGAAAGAAAATATTATTGGGTGCAATATACACAAACAATGATCGTAAACTATTATAATTTCCAAAGGGAATAAGGGATACATAACAAACAATTAGTATAAAAACAAAGATGAATAAATCTATTTTGTAATTATCCATCAATCACGTCATTATTTTCTTAGAAACTCCATTAAATTGGTGATTATTATCCTGTGAAAAACGCAGTTCTGCAGTTTATAGAAAATGCAATATTTTTTGTTTAATAAAACCTATAATTGCATATTTTACATTATTTATATTTTAAGTTCATATTTTAAAATAATATTTTATTTATTAATGTCAGTAAAAAAAATAAGTGCAGGCTTACAAATATTATTTAATTTAACATGCTAAAATAGACTGAGTAGTCATGGAATTCATGCCACAAAAATTATGTGAATTCCACACTAATATTATGAGATTCACATCATCATATTTATAATGCAAACTTTTAATTTCACTATATTCTACTATAGTTATTCGACTCAATAAATAAGAGATAATGAATCAATGTATTTATGAAATATAGGCTTTAATATAGGCTTTATTTGAGATTCTTCTATCTAGATTTTTCCGATTTAAGGTCCGATACTATAAGATGTCTTGTGAAAGACGTGGCTTAGGTCATAAATTGACTGTTTTTGTTCCTATTTTGTGATGGAAAGTTTCTTATTTTCAATGATTTTTCGTTAGTTATATTTTCTTAAGATAATAAATTAAATTCTATATTATTTCATCAAATAAATTCTTATTTAAAAACTTAATACAATCTGTTTTTCATAGAAAATAATTTTTTATTTAAGTAAGTAGATATGTATATTATTATAAACAAATTAATTGTTTATTTTTAAAATAAAATTTTGTATTAAAAAATTATTAAATTTGATAATTAATCTTTTTTTCAATAATATTGTATAATTTATTTAATTTTTATTAAACAAAATTAGGTTTTATTTTTTAGTTTTCAAATATTATTATTACTAAACCATTAACAGTTAAAAGAATTATTAATAAGTGTATAATGAATTTCTGAGATTTATGAATTTACTCGTACATGGTAAAGAATAAACAATAGTTCATGAAAACTTAAACAGTCATAAAACATTGAAGAAGATAATTATTATTGTGTAAAGTCTGTTTTCTCCCTAAAGATTCAATTGCTACGAAATTCAAAGTCACCTATTAATATTTAGTATATATTTAGTACATAACAACATTTGATATTTTGATATAATATTTAGAAAAGATTCGACTTAACGTTCTAGATTTAATATTACAGTTTTCAAGATAGGTACACTTCTCAATAGATTATAAATTCTAATTTTATTAAAATAAACTTAACAAATATATATTGTTTTAATTACTTTAATTTATATATATTCTTTTAATTTTCTGAATTATTAAATGAATAAATTATGTAACAAAACAAAATAAGTATGAAAATAATCGTTAGTTTAATAATGTATAGTAATTAATAAATACTGAATAATGTATTTAAATTAACTTCACTGTGTCTGCATGCATTAAAATGTATAGATATTTAAATTATTTTTTCCGTTTTAATTTGTATACATTGACAGAAATTTTATGAAATATGAAACATCGTTTGTCATTGGATATACTTTTTCTTTAAGTATTATAGTAAAAATGGCATTGATCTTTTTTCTTTATGTAAAGACGTATTATCTTTAAAAAAAGTACCCAGATAAGTTATTCGATCCATATCATCTCAATATTCCCAGTGATACTTCACTTCCTACAGTAACTTGGCATCTTCAGGTTCATAATCTTATAGAAAGGATTGTATCGTAATAATTGAGACGATTCCCAAGTTAGGTACAAAACTTGAAATCTACCGTAGGTCCACTATAATTATTTCACAATAATAGGCGAATAGCCACATAATAAACATGAATAGAGACTAGCATTTCTTCGTAATAATAAAACATATAAAAGTTCGAATTTTTAACACTTTTCTTACGTTTGGTTACACGTCTGTCTGTGATCAAATCTTGCGCGCTCGATTTGAGGCACTTTTTGAAGATGAAAAATTCTGAAAATTTGTATAGACCTTGGTCTTGGATGACAATACAATAATCCGTAAAAAAATTTTTTTTAACTAAAAAGTAGAAAATAAAAAATTAAAAAATTATTTTTAAAAACACCCTTTTCTAAAAAAACAAAAAAATAATGAAAAATTTAAAAGTGTGTGGCGCTCTTAAACTTGACATATTATAGCACACACTTTTAAATTTTTCATTATTTTTTTGTTTTTTTAGAAAAGTGTGTTTTTAAAAAATAATTTTTTAATTAAGTTACCAAGATGTGTCCCTCGTTATATCCCAATAATTTCTATGTGTTAAATATTGTATTAATAATATATGTAATAGGTATATAATATATATATATAAGTACAAATACATGTTACAATAAATAACATAGGTAGGTAATTGAAAATCAATGAATTTATTTTCCAATAATAGTGTTTAATTTTTTTAGAATAATCGTATACTAGTATGTTTCATATTCGTTGAATGAGAGAAATATATTTTCAAATATAATTTCAGATTATGGGCTGAAGTATTTCACGTGAGTGCTAAAGGAGAAGAAATAAAATGGCAACAAATATCCGAAGATCTCGTTCCTGTAAATATCACGTGCTTACAAGATGGACCAGAGTATATTTTCCATATTACTGCTTACAACAGTCAAGTGGAAAAAATCATGGATATCCGCTTGGTTCAACCAGGTAAATATTAGCATATATAAATGCTCAGTTAATTTTTATAGTACAGTGAAACCTCTTGATAGTGGACATTATATTATTATAAGGGAAGTTAAATATTTCTGATATTAAAAGGTGTTCATAGTCAGATGTTTCATTCTTAGACGAATAATAAATCCAATTTCGTTTATTTTTAGGCACAAAAATAGGGTTAGCTTCAGAATGTTTTGCGTATTGGAAAGAACCACATAGCAATGACACCTGGGGCTTAAATTTCACATCACCAATAGACGCTAAACAATTTAAAGAATGTTGTGTAAGTACAATTAAGTAGGTACCAACAAGGTTTAACAAAAAAATATTAATTGTAACATTATTTGATTTTAGACTCCAACTGTGAAATTGTCTCGGAAATCATCTTCATCGTATTCCTTAAAATTAGATACATCGAAAAGGCAAAGTACGAAAGTAAGAAAGAAACCGCTATCGACACCAACTTCACCTAGTAGATCAAGGGAGCCACAATGTACTTGCATGACAGCTGATCAATTTAATAGGCTCAGGGCACAAGATCCGAGATACAATAAAGAACGATGTTTGTTACATTTTGGGAGGTTATAACATAAAATATATAAATAATAATATAATATTTTTTAGCTTCTACGTTACCGCGTTCTCACACTCGACAAAATCCACTTGGAGATGGACCTTCGGAAGCTGATAAAACATCAGTGCCTGAAGATACGTCCAAACAGACCATATCCCGAAGCTCAAATACGAGAGACAGAGAAACTGCCACGCCCGGTGGAAAATTAAATATCACCGGAACTGGGTCACAAACAGAACAGGTAAAAACTAAAATAATGCCAATTACAAATAAAAAATATAAAAATGTTTGTATAGGGTCAACAAGAAAGTTGTAAAAGTGAAGGAGTGCAAACAATCGGTGCTAAGACTACGTCTACCACGGGCACATGCACTCCAAGAATGCCTTCCAAGGACTATTCTGAAGGGTACGTGGAGTCAGATTTATTTAAATCAGCAACAACATCAAAAAATTCAAGAAATCAAAACAAAACATATAGAGATGATTACCGTAGAGACAGTGAGTTATATCTCTTATTTTTTTTTTCATTGAATATGATACATTTTTATCAACATTTTATATTATTTATTATAGTAGGTATATTTAGACTAAGCAAAATGTATTTAAATTTAAAATAAATTGCACAATTTCATAATAATTTAGATGTGGGGTCAATGAAACGCACATTAAAACCAATGCCATCATTAGAAAGTCCTGCTACTTCACCAGAAATGAATCGAAGACGTGGATATAGCTATTACACTCAGCCACCACCAGTTTCTACAATGATACCCCCTATGCCACAATGTTCAAGACAACAATCATTATCAGAACCAGAGTCAAATGTAAAACATAGAAATCCACGATTTAATAATTCAGGTAAGGTCATAATTATATTTTAAATGTGAAAATTAAACCGAAAATCAACTTTTGTTTTGTATTGTATTTTATAAATTTAAGGTTCCCGCTCATCATATGACATAGGTCGAAATGGTCAAGTAAGAGATCCAAGAGGCCTTTATTTGGAATTGGATAGAAATGGACGGCCTACTCATGGTGGAGATGTTTCACCACTTTCCGATAACGTTATGTTTGATAACCAGTGTTATGCAACGACACCTAGCTCGAGCAACGGTAATTCCGACCAGGATCAGAGTAACGCTAAGGGCATATCAGGTCCGTACGCATGGACAACAAAAAGCATGCCGGACCGGTTTGGTCAATAGGTAGAAAAATAATTAGGGGGATCTGTTGTGTATTGAAATACAATTTTTGAGGTTTACAGTAAAACTAAATATATAATAGGTTGTGCTTTCCATGCGTATAATATGAATATTGATTACATGATTATTTTACTGCTATAGTGCTTAAATATTTGCAAACAAAAAACAATAGGTGTAATAAAATAAAAAGTAAATTATGATAGTTATATTTTAGTAATTGAATGCACTATAAAAATTCAATAAAATAAAGCAACGAAGTTAAGACAAATTAGTAACTATAAAAAGTTAGTACCTAGTAAAATAAAATATTTTAAATTCTTTTAAATTTTAGGACGTTATCAAAAACACGATAATCAAGCTACAAGTACTCCAGGTTCACCAACTAGTCGACTTTTACTGGAATATGAGATGCACTTACGAAATACTTTAGCACGTGGTATGGATGCTGAGAGTTATAGCTTGCACACATTTGAAGCACTATTAACACAGAGTATGGAAAATTTAGGTAACTCATAGTAATAATTTGTATTAGCATAAACGTTTATACCATGGTTATGTTTCTAGAAATGGCAGAAAAGTTGCCTCCATTAAATTCAAGAAGTCCGTATCCTATGAGAAGGAGTTAGTATATTAATAATTCTACAATTCATTATTATGTACTTCTGTATATTGTTTGTATGAAAATTATTTGATTGCAATGTATTTTCAGGACCGATGAGTGCTGGAGGGAGCTTTAATAGATCATCTACACTTCCACATCGAATCGAAAGATCGTCCAGTGCTACGAGAGAAGGTTATTATAGTGATAGACAAGATGCAGCAGCAAGAGAAAGAGACAGGGAACGAGGTTACTTATCTGATCATGCACTTTCTAGGTAAAATTTAACATCTGTGTATCTTTCACAATTAACAACTACAACAATAACATTTTATTTGTAATAACTAATAACTGATTTTAAGACCAGAAACAAATTAAACTATTTAAGCAGGTACTTAATAAAATAAAATTAGTTAGTTTTTCAAACTTTACAAACGGGTTCAAATGTTATTAAGCTCACAAACTCATAAGATATTCACTTTAAAAGTTAATTGGTAGTATAATTTATTATTTAAATTAATTCCATCGAAACTGAACAAGTTAAAAACTACCTTCTATTATATTTTAGTGTTTTCAATTAAAATTAGTGTGGAAACTATATAAATAAATGTACCTTATTACTTACTGTTATTTTCAATGCACATTAATTATTTAAAGACAATTTGAATTCATAAAAACTTGTAACTGTATAAGTTAGATATTTATTAATTATTATTTGTTAGTCATATATTCAACATATGTAACTCAGAAAGTGTAACCCAATGGCGAAATTAAACTATAACTTGCTGCATCCTAGGAAATAATTTATATTAAAAGTATCTCATTTAAAATTTAACGTGCTATATTATCCTTACCTCAGTTAAGTTATTATCTTTATTACTAAGATCTTTTATTAAAAATAATACGTGGTAATTAATCATAAAAAAGGTGAGAAAGTGGGTGACGCTCTGCTATACAGTAGGTTACAAGTGAGTCACTGTAATGGATGATTTTAAATTTGAATTCAATGATATAATATCATTGTACTAGAAAAACGATTCTGAGCGAAGACACCTATGGTATTAGTGTATTACTAAGTATATTTAATGATAATATTATTGTGAATAAAGTAATTTATATATAACCTTAATACCTTGTTTTAAATTTTCAATCCTTATCTATAAAAGTTGAACATTTTGTACATTTTAACTACAAAATAATTATAAGAAATTATTAAATTTTGTCAAAATTCGAACTTTAAATACTTATAAAAAAAATCGTGCCTATGTATTTTTAATATTTTGAAACTGCTATTTTAACAATATATTAGGAGCCTGTAGTAAATTTTCTTACTTTTTTACTCAACAAATAAAATTTTATTGATATTTAAAGAAAAAAATACTAAAAAAAATTTAAAACTGACAATGTCTTTAAAAAGCTCCAAAAGGGTCAAAATATTTTCAAAATTTTATCGTTTATAGAAAATTAATGAAATAAAAAAAATGAAATATAAACATTCAAAATAACTTACAACTTTTCGTTTTTGAATTACAATAAAATAACAAAATCACAACATGAGAAATCGAGTGAATATACAATCTTGTAAAAATATAAACTTCAAACGCTCATAAAAATTTAATTTGATTTGCTTGTTGCCATTTTTTTTTTTTTTTTTGATAAAGGTAGATAAACGTATGAGGAATTTTGTATTACATTTTCAAATCTCAGATTTAAAAAGAAAAAAATTTTATAATTTCAAAATAATTTGCTAATTTTCGTGATTTCCGTGAAGATTTGAACTTTAAATGTTTATAAAAAAACTGTGTATTAAACCTTGTATTAAATTTTCAAGCATTTTTACCCAACAAATAAATTGTTATTGACATTGATAGGAAAAAAGATTAATAAAATTGGAAACGGAAAATGTCCCTAAACAGTTCAAAATATTTTGAAAATTGTATGTATAGAAAATGCAAATAAAATCAACCAGTGAAAATTTCATTTGTACGTTCATTTGTTTTGAGTTGCACCAAAAGCCAAAATCAATTAAGTCAAAAATTGATTTTGCGTAAATGTACCCGTTTTTCCTTAATTTTTCTTTTGTTTTTCACGGCGTTTTTTAAAACTACTGGAACATTTTTTCTTTTGACCATCAAAGTGCCAACTATATTCACTTTCCTATCCGAAAAGATACTGTTGAAAAAAATCAAAGCACTTTTACTGTCTTAAAAAGTGATGACAGACACAAAAAAAATTTAAAAAAAAAAAAACATTATTATAAAATCAATACATTCATCGCTCCGCTCAGAATCTAAAATGTTGGTGAAGAACTGGAAAAGTAGTACACTTGTCGTCGTCAGTTCAAAACGGAGTATAAGACACATTCTACATTCTATCAGAAAAAAACAGCAATAATGATTCAGGGATGGGCAAAATTCTTTGAAAGTTAGAAAATTATATTTCAATACGAAATACAAAATGCAAAATACAAGGTACCAAAACATTAAATCTTTTTTGGAATACTGGATCCAGGAATTTTTTAGGGAAAACCAGTATTTAAGTTAGACCAGTTGTAAACAACTATTCTACTGTTATATTCTAAGAAACTATTCTATAACTATTTGTTGACAAATAACTTTAGAGTTTTGACAATTTCAACAACGTATAATGAATATTATTATTATTATAATTTTATTTTATATTAATATAATGTATTTTCAAGACATGAAATAATTTTTAAAATATTTTAGGTACCTATTTTTTTAGATATTTATAGATACTTGAAATGTTTTATGAGATTTATGTACGATAATATTTTTGTTTTGATTAAAAATGTCGAAAATAAAAGTTTTCTCATAATATTATGTGGTTAATACCCGAATTAAAAAAGATCAAAATTACGTAAACACAATTTTTTTTAACCTTTTAAAATTCAATTTTTTACAAAATTTGTCAACATATGCTAGGTAATCAGGTATTCTGTTTTACTTAATTCAAAATATTATTTGCTATATATTATTAAATTGTTACTTACCTATATATTATACATTTTTACTTTATACAACAGTCAAATTTCCCAAATGTTTAGATTAATTTTTAGCTATTGCCTATATTTGTACCACGAACAGCACTATCCTATTTACATCGTTCTATGGTAAGTCAGTATTGGCTCAAAAGTTAATGATAGTAATATAATATTATGTATAAATATACAGTAATAATGTACTATTATAATAATTAATAACATAATAAATACGATGGTTTCAGCAAAAATTAATTCAACCCACTGTATATTATAATAGTAAAATTAATTGGTATGATAGCAGTATAAAATATATACAAATATAAATATATAATAAAACATACTTAGAAATATAGGATGACAGGCCGTCTTCACTTAGAATTGATTTTCGTACCTATATAATTATTTATTATTGAATTCAAATTGTACACATCCTTTACAGTGACTTACACACTTGACACTTACTGTATAGCAGAACTATTACCTACATGCCCACATTTTTATTTTTATATTATAATATTAATTATAATATTAATGATTATAGATGTATAGGCTTGAAGTTATTATAATATTATATACTCGGCTAGAAACTAAATGAATTGAAAATGATTTCTAATTCTAAAAGAAAATACTTTTTTGGATGATCATTCCGTATAGTTTATGAACATTTAAATTGAAATATTTTCTACTAAAGGTAGTATAAAAATATAAAGAATGATTAATACACTGAATTGGCTAATAATTCGTATAATTTATACGGGCATTTAATCTCTGAGTAATTTAAACTTATATGTTAGAAAAGATATAATTAATTGTCTTATCATATAGTTATATTAATAAAAATACAGATTAAGTAACAATTTGATTACTATAGGAATATACATAAGATCTCACCATCCTTCATAGTCATAGGCGTGCACACGGGGGGTGCAGGGTATGCAACTGCACCCCCAGCGAGTTCATTTTAGAAATAGATTGATAGATAAATAATATTTTTTAAGTTTATAATTTTTTTCAAGCCCGCGGTCACACGTGAGTGCAGCAGCAGGCTGGTATGTACGATACACGGTTAAAATCGTTTTCTGTTATCGCGGCTCGATTGTCGATAGTTAGGTATCGTAAAAGTGGCTACACCAAAAGTTATTTATAACTTCTGAAATGCTATTATTAATTGTGATAACTGATAATAAAACACATTAGTGACTGTTGTTGTTTACAGTAAGAATCTCTGGCAGCGTAGTCGTAGTGCAAAATAATTATTTTATGGTGGGTAATGTACTCGCGTGTTTGATTAATTTATACATTTTATTGATTTAATATATTAATTATAAAGAAGTTTCAGAAATCAATCCAGAAGATGTAATTAATGAATTCAAGTCTATGTACCCAGGTACACGTCGTCTTGAATCAGTGGCGTCCGCAGGATTTTTCAATGGGGGGGGGGGGGGGGCTTGAAAATTAGTTACAAATTTATTTTTATTTTGTCCAGTCTAAAAATTTCAGACGTTTATTTGAGGTATTTCAAAATGTTTGTAACTTTTCAACTTTTCTGATAGAAAAAATGCTCTTATCATAAGCTTCGATGCCCAGTGTATGTTTTTGGAAGCAAATTGGATTTAGTTGGTACTTTTAGGAGGTCGAAATTGAATCTGCTCAGTGCTTTTAAAAGTACCTAATTGGAGAAAAAAAAATGAAAACTTATTTAAATTGTTTGGTAACAATAGCTTGGTTACAGTGACGTATTTATGGGGGGATATGGGGGATAGACCACCTCCCTTACCCATGTTTTTCCATGTACGTATAAAGTACAAACTGCTGCAGTACTGTTGTTATTTATAATTTTGTTATCCTGTGGGCATGTGAGTGACATTACACAACATTTATTATTATTATATACCTTACATGGAGTAGGTAACTAACAAAAAGTTGCAATAGCACAAAACAAATTTTGATATCCCCCTCCTAAAGAAAATCCTATATACGCCCCTGCTTGGTTATATAGTCCTCGCTTGGATTGTATTTGACTAATTAAATTTTTTTTTATAAATGTCAATAAAAAATTATTTATCCGGTCGAAAAGCTTAAAAATGTAATACGCAAGTTTTTTTTTACATATGCATTTAAAGTTCAAAACAATTTAACCACAGTTAATTTGTAGTTCAAAACTTATAAAATATAAAATATGTATAGCTAAGGCTAGACATTTAATACAAGGTCTTTCATACAAGTAGTTCATTCTTTTACCGAAAAATTACAGATAATTTATGAAAATTGGTATGCAAATACAATGTTTTTTCAAAAATGAATTCATTCTGGTAAGACATATATGAAAGTTACGTCTTGCTTACTATAGTTGACAGTTTAAACTTGATTCATATTTTTTTTAAAAAGTAATAATAATACGGGCAATGGGGGGGGCTTTAGCCCGTTAGCCCCCCCCCCCCCCCCTGCGGACGCCACTGTCTTGAATTATAATTTATAAAATTATTGACTTCTAAGAGAAATGAAATTATTAAAAAAATAATTATTAATTTTTTTTTTTTATTATTAATCCTGGCCCGACTTGTTACATGGCTAGGTAACATACTAAAATTTTCAATTTGTACTGTGCACCCTCAGCAAAAATGTCCTGCGCACGCCTATGTTCATAGTACTCACAATCAAATATCAATATAATTTTTTTCTTACTACATTTTTTAAAAACCAGAGTTATTTAGTTAACCTACTATACATCTTTCTAGTTTTCACTTTTATTTATAAAATACTGTAAAGTATAGTATGTTAATTAGTTTTATTCAACCAATAACCATATTATGCGATGTGAATTTGGAACAGGTAATGAAATAAAAGCATAGTGTAGGTAACATATTATATAGGTTATATTATTTATTTGTATTTTATTTATTTTTATTACAACTCGGCATATACCCAAATCAATACAAGATAGTAAATACATACAAAATATAATACATAGGTACCTAATACGTACAAAATAATTAAAGTAATAGAGTTGTTATATCCTTATTCGCTAAATACTCATCATTCTATGTAATGGTTGATGTTTTGAATAATATTGGTGTTGCATATAGCCATAGGTAAAGAAAACAAGTACATTATTACGCAGAAACACTAGAAACTTGATATTAGAAAGTATTAAAAATAGCATACGGATATGGGTACAGGAAAAATGGACAAATGGCAGTAGTGTTAGTGTTAGTGTTACTAAATTATCTAATCAGTAAGCTGAGCGATAATATTTATGCTAACCTTAAACAAAAGATAAAATAAAAAATAATATTACAAGTATAACGACCAATAAGTAGGTACCTGTATAACTCTATACAAGATAACAATTTACATGTCTATCTGCATTTAAAGCATAACGTTTTTTGATGATTGATCACGTTGACCGACGACCGTCACGTAATAATCTATTGTTATAATTTTAGCAATAGATGTGCCAACTGTTGGAACGAATCAGCTCGAGCCCAATGGTTTAGACATAGTGACGGATGGCGGTGCGGATCTTCAACCATGGGGAGTAGTGCATCGAATACTGGTGTTCCGTACGGATCTTTTGACGGACATCATGCCCATCATCACATTCCAACAGCGAGGCCTAACAAAAGATCGGCTTGGGAATCTTTACCGTCACTTCGGCATGAAAACAGTGTTATGACAGATAACGGATACAAACCTAATAGAAATGATTTATTCGAACAAAGGTAGTTAAATTAATAATTACAATATAACTATTCTGATTTCTGACATTTCAAGAAGTTATCTTTTACATGGGTACTAACACAATTTTATTCAAATTGAATATATTGTATTTTAGTGCATGGTTAAGGAAATAAATATGTTGTTAACTATGATTTTATATCAAATCAGAGCTAGGGCTAAATTAACAAATAACAACCATACCCTATAGAAAACTTTAATTTTTACTCATTATACAGTGTACCTATGTAAACTGTAAAGATTTCAAGAGTAATGAAAATAATTCGTAATAATATAATATAATTTTCTCAAAACTAAAAAGGTTAAAAACGCATTAATAAAGCTTAATACTTTTATATGGTCATGATATCAAAAATTATTCGCGACTAAGTAGGTAACTTTGTGTTATAAAAATTGTAAATTGTATAAAGGGCCGTTCACGAGACAAAAAATACGTTTGTTAAGATCATAATATTGCCGACTACATTTTTTTTTAATAAGTAAATAAAAATGAATATTTAATATATTTTTGTCTTATCAACATGGTAGAATATTTTAATGTCATGAAGATAATAGCTTTGAATTCAAAATTAATTTTTCTTTGTTAACTTTATTAACTACTTTAATTTATTTTTCATCTTTTGCTATATAGTCATAATATAGTCCTACATAATTCTAAGTTATTATTATTATTATTTTTTCGAATTTTTTTTCATATCTATATAATATAAAAATGAACGTTTGTTTGTTCATCTTCTATAGGCTCAAAACTATTGGACCATCATAAATAAAAGTGATGTCAATAGATTCCTTGAGACTTGGAGGGTTAGGCTAGGGTTTATGGCTTATTTTTCAACCCCTATAAGCAGCTAAAGCGCAGCTTATACATGTATTTTTTTCAGCTCACGAAAAAAGAATATTTTTTTTTGCTTATTTAAATGGTTGCCATTGCTTACATATTATATTAATATTATAATTAGTAGAAATATTGCATACACATTATAGATTCTGAGAGGAGCGGAGCGATGAATGTATTGATTTTACAATAATGTACTTTTTTTAAAAAATGTTTAATGTTTTTATTTGTGTCTGTTATCACCTTTTATAACAGTAAAAATGCTTACATTTTCTTCGACAGCATATTTTCTGATAGGAAAGTTGATACTTTGGGGTCAAAGTAAACAATTCCTAGTAGTTTGAAAAGCACCCGGAAAAAAAACAAAAATTAAGGAAAAACGGGAATTTTTACGGAAAATTGGTTTTCGACAAAATACAATGATATTATAGATGAATAGATTATAATAGATAGTCGGCTAATATAGATGTTACTAGTCGATATATATTTAAATGACGCATTATATATGCAAATCCGCAGTTTTTGACCAATTGGCACCAAATTTTGCGCACATATCAGTATATCATTTTAATACCGGACGTATTGAAAGTGTAGGTTTTAGAATAGAAGCTACGGCCAACAGCTATCGTATACAATAAACATAATACATAATATAAAAGGTAAAATGCTCCTAAAGCTTATGGAATCAAAAAATACCCGAATCAATTTGACTATACGTGGAAGGTTTGGATATTTTATGAAAACTAGGGGGGGGCACCAAAAGAAAAAAAAATATTTGTATACATATTTTATTTTATAACCAACATAATATTATAATAAAATACACGTTTGTTAATTTATCACACTTATAAACAATTAAATTATTAAATATATGTACTACATATGTCTTCTAAGGAGGGCCAAAAAAATAGCCTTTGTGGACAATAAATTGTGGTCCAACACCCTGGTCAATTGGATTAGATCAATTATTTTAGGGTGACTTACCCGATATAAATATAATAATAAAACCATAACTTTATAATCGTTTATTTCTGTTTGTAATTGGTTACTCATAAGGAAAACAGTTACTTATTACTATCCACCACAGGTGGATTTCCCATCTTAGATTTAATTATTCCAGGGCAACACCTGGTAATACGGATTGCTATGAATAATATTAAATATATAATATCGAATAAATGTAATTTTACAAAGAATTAAACAATACATTTGAAATGTAATTTTGAAAATGATATGCAAGTGGCTAATTATTGCAATAGATCAGTGTTGGGTAGTAACGTAACATGCGTTCTCGTTACTTCAACGTAGTTACACTTTTTAGTAACGTTAAGTACCTTCGTTATTATTATTTTTGGGTAACGCAAGAGTAACTACGTTAATTATTTAGAAGTAACTTAGCAGAAGAATGGGTTACATTATAAATTTATTTTTTTTTGGGGGGGGGGGGATATATCACGTTGTTACTTCACAACAATCCTTCCTCTCGTATACACATCAGAAAATGTAATTATATTAATAATTTAAGTAGGTATTTATGTAATTACAACATTTTTCCAGTATAATCTAATATAATTATATAAATAAACGATTTTGTCTTAATATTATTTTTAATTTAACTAATTATAAGCATCGATTACAGTCTATAAAGGCAGCAATTGAAATAGTTTATTTATTTTTAGATCATATCTGATAAAATATACGTACATCGACATACGGACAGACGGTTGTGTACGGATTACTGCTAATAACATAAGAATGACAACATTGTAACTAGTTACTTTTGAGTAAAAAATGTAACGTTATGCATTACTTTTGTACTTGAGTAACTAACAAGTAATCTAGTTACCTATTTTATTTTGTAACTAGTAACGTAACTTATATTTTTAAAAAGTAACTTACCCAACACTGCAATAATAGATACCTATAGATTTAGTAAATATATAATTGTTTAAGTCACATCTATTTGACGATCCGATCCGTTTCGTGAAATGGATAGAAATATTATCCACGTTAGAAATCATTCATAATATATTAAGATAGACTATAGTACCTTATTGTTTAAATGCCACGTAATCACTAATCAATAAAAAAATAAAACAGTTTCAACATTCCCTATCGGACGTGGTTCAAACTAACCTCTAAACTTTTCTGGTATCTCTAAAAAGAATCTCTGACATTCTTGTATAAATCGTTTGAGTAATTTTTGAGTCAATAAACCACAACTATTTAAATTACATTGTCTTTTATATTGTTTAATACAGATAGTTTAATACTAGTCACTACTCACTATAGATAACAATTAATAATTCAGTTCTTGTAGGTATATAATAATATTCAAATATGAATTATTATTGTGAATTAAATATGGCTTATATTAATTATTTTCAGGATGTTTGAACGACAAGATAGTGCCAGAATGGATTATATGGCTGATAGAGAGGCCAGACATAGCTTTAGCGGAATTACACAGCAGACTTCTGTCGAAAGTACGGATTCTCGTCTGTGTTACCTTACATCGTCAGAGGTGAGTGAATTTTAATCAAAAGTTGCTAGCTTATAAAATACATATAGGTTAAATTGACTCAATTACCAAATCTAAAATTATTTAAAAATACATAATATCATATTATACTATAAAACATTATTAATTTTGAATTCGACATGTAGGTAGGTAGGTATTAAGTTATATATTTGATATAAGGAATAATAATAGCTATACAATCATGTATACTTAAATTATGTATACTTATTCGTGTACGAAATGCTAACAAACCCATTCAAATATTGAATTTGTTGATTATTCGGTACCTATACCTACAGATTATTTCATGTATACTAATCTAATTCTTCATATTATGTTAATAAGAAATTATTAACAATATTAGAATTCGTAAATTTTTATCTGTATTATACCTAAGTCACAATGAGGTTTCCTATTTTTTAATAATACAATACTCCACAAACAAAATGTTTGTAAGATATTTTTAATTTTCTGATAGAATATTATTAAAGTAAATTATATTTTTTAATTGGTGATAAAATTTATCTAGATACTTTTAGTATTTTCACGAATCAGTTGACGCAGTTCTCAGTAACTTTGTTAACTTCTCTTAGCATCCAATTAACAGACTAACGATGTGCAAATAGTATATACATTATACATAGTCGAATTGTACGCTATATATACTCGATACAGATTACATTAAGTTACTATGTATATATTATATATGTACATTAAGTGTATGTTTACAATTATTATTATTATTCAAAATAAAGACATTACTTCTAAAATGAGTATAGTTTAAATTTAATATTACTTCTGTAGATTTATGAAAACTAGATAACTGGCCATCCTATTTGAGTTATGTTGAAGTGAACCATTTTTTTAATCAACAAAAAAAAATATTATTTTATATATTATATCATCTATTAATAACAAAAATTATTCCGTCATAAGTCCAAAATATGCATTTAAATATAGTTAATACCTATAGTCACGTTGAATGTTCTGCAATACTAAGCGTATCAACTGTGAAACTTCATAATGTAATATAATTACAAAATTATAAAGTTTATAATATGTTATATACAATAATATAATACTAGAAAATTAGGTTCGTATTTTCTCCAGTCAAATTAATTACACCGAAAATATAAAATCCCTTTTGCATGAATTTTATCGTTGTCTGTAATTCTGTTTTTATTTTTTCTCGATTAGTTTGAAAAGTAATTTTAATTTTTAATTTTCACCCTCCAAAGTATCACCAAGACCCGATTTGTTATCAGAGATCACTTTCAAAGCTAATGGTTTAAACATTTTTACTTCACTTAAAGGTGATGTCGAACACACACATTAAAAAAAAATCAAATTGTCAAACCAATACGAATTTATAGCTCGGTTAAAAAACTAAAATACAATTTTCAGAGGATAATTTAAAAGAATTAAACTTTTTACTTTAGGCGTTATAAAGTGGACTTGCTCTTTTACTACTTTTGTATTATAGGAAAGCGAGTAAGCATGGTGACCAGTTGGCAGTTTTGTATATTACCTACTTGTAAACTTTTAGTGTTTACCGCCAAATGCAAATTTACATAATATATTATATTATGATGTAAACCAAAAAGTGATTTAAAATAAACTGAGCATCGTTAAAGTGTTAAAAAATGTGATAACTACACATAAAACTAAGTATACACACAATAATATAATGTATAGTTGGTAAGTAATTAAAATTAAGTAACGTATAATATGGATTAAAGACATATATTTTGCACAATAATCCATTTCAGATTTAATGTAATAAAGCACGCATATCCCCCCATACCTATTTAATGTTATTGAAAAATTATTAAATAAAAAAATTTTTAGATGAAAAAAAAAGGATTTAATTATTGCATAATATTTTTTGACAAAACAATAGTATAGTATTCATACATTTCATACATTCTCGCATACTTTTATGGTTAACCATACATACCAACTATGTATTGTAATTTTTGGTTACGAGCTATTAGGTTAGTAGCTAATAGATATATGTTATTATCGTTGATTTTTATTTGAAATCGATTATTAACATCGTATACATTTTTATAGAAATATTTTAAATTATACAGACGAATTATATAATATAATCAATATACACATAATACGAAGAGCTTAAGTACATTTAAAGTTGTTCGTTTGAAAATGTAAATGATTGTCTCATCCATAATATTTTCAAACACAGATAACATGCATATCACGATATTATTATATGCAAAGGGTTACTCGACGGCTTATTTAATGTTTAGCAAATCCCAGATACACACGAACAAACCGAAAGACTGTACTCGAAACAGATAGGTACCTACATATGCCGCGGAATATACTTAAAATGTAAATTTTTAAGAAGCGCGTCACGCGACGTTCGATAATATTAACATTTAACACACGGCCAATACCCACCACCGTATACATCGACGTAATATTATATTTGTACGGTTGAAAAACGTTTCTACAAAACGGTCGTTACATCAAAGGGATCAGTTATTATTTATCGATGCATTCTCAACGACATGCGTGTGTATAATGATATACACTTAAAAATACACGTTTTCTTTTACTAATTGACAATTATTATTATTATTATTTGAAACATCACACGGGGACGTGAAATGGCATTTCTCCAAAACGTTCTCTTTCAATAATTATTTATATTATTATTTTACTCGGGGTTTTTTCCCCCCGGTCTCCCGCCGGCCCGCTTATTAGTGTGTCGATAACCGAGAACCTTTTCGCGTTTCATGATTATTATTATTTGTATATAAATACATACCTATATATGTGTGTATTTATTATATATATAGTCGAATATATATATATGAAACACACACTCAAACGCATACACGGTCCTTTTTTTTTCTTCCACTCGGCAAACGCATGTATACGGATTCAATACACATTTCTCGTCGGGCCATTTCCTTTTGATGTGTTACACCAGAGGGCGCCGTCCGGGCGCCGGGACGCTGCGAACGCTGAAATACGCCCTCGTGATACACCCTCGTCCGCTAGTCCGCTAATGGAAGCTGAACGATCGCGTCGCGCTCCCCACTGTGTACTCCGCTCGGTACGGTTGCAACAACACCGCTCGTAGTCGTCGCAATCGCGCACAGAACGGCACTACACGACGAGTGTAACGCACAGCTCTGTAATATCAACAACAACAATAATTATTATTCGTCTGCTGCTGTCGTTATGGTGGTCGTAGTTAATCACGAGCAGCCGTCTTCAGCTGTGTCGTCGACGTATTTTTACTTCGGATGAAATAACACACGCCGTCGAACACTCTACGCTTACGTCGTTGGGCACGGACGGAGCCCGAGATCGACATGCTTAACGTTGTCATGCCGCAGGTCTGTAGCTATACGACGACAATATTGTAGCGGTGCTTGTCGTTTCGGCGTCGTTATAAAGCCGCCACCGCCGCCGTCACGATCGACTAGGCCAGTGCCGCCGCCACGAGGTAGGTACGACAATACTATGATATTATAGTAAGGTGACCGTGATACCAATCAAAGGCGGTCGTGGCGACGATGGACGAACAGGAGGCGTCGCTGTGGTGTTATTGTTTGCGGTGCGCCCGGCGACGGCGGTCAGCGCGTGCCAAATGCCGAACGACGGCGGTACTGCCGAGCGGCGTGCACCACAACTGCCGCATTGCGGCGGTCGCGGAATAACGGCAATCGCCCTGTCCGCCGATGAAAATGGTCGAGACAAACCGGCCAAAACCGCCGTTGGACGTCGCCACCGCGGCGGCCGACGTGAACTCCTCGCCGCAGCAGCAGCAGCGTGAACACCAGCAGCACCGTGAACACCAGCATCAACGTGAACACCACCAGCAACGTGAACGCCTGCAGCAACACTGGCACCAACCGCCACAGCACCGTCCACCACAGTCGCGAAACACCAAGACGGTACACTTCGAAACAGACGTGTTGCGAGACGTCACGCCGGCCGACTCCGCGATGGCCTGCACGACGACGACGTCGAACTACACGGCCAGCGTCACTAGTCTGCCCGACCAGTTCGACAGACACGTACAACAGTTGTTCACTTTTATCGGCACAGCTCTGAGCGGAGGTCACGAACGTTGTTGTAGCGACGACGACGACGTCGACGGCTGCAGTGACGATGACGACAGCGACTGCGTTAGTGACGGATTTTGCGGCGGCTGCGGTGGTGGTAACGACGGTGACGACGACGACGAGGACGATGACGATGACCGGAGGTCGGTTAGCGACAGCGAGACGGTCTGGAGGAGATCGGCGTCGCACCGGCAGCGACCGGCGTCGGCGTTGGCGCCGTACGGCGCGTCGTCGTTCTCGCGTGGCGCGCGTACCATCAGTTTCGAGCGTGACGTGGACAGAGGCAACACGCCGTTCAGGCACAGGCACTGCAAAACAACGGCTGTCACGTGCAACAGAGTTTTCCTCAAAAAGGTAAATGCTTGCGGATCGAAGTGTTCATCGTGGGTTGCGGTTGTGGGGAGGGAGGGGAAAGAGTGGAGGGTCAGGTATTGTTTTTGTGTATCGACCGTTTTGCAGCATCCTAACAGTACAGGTGGGCTACGGCCTACGAGTCTTTTTAAAAAAAACTGCCTATAATATTATATAGGTGTTCAAAATTGTTTCGCATACATTATTTTCATCCAAATATTCGATTGACAGATATTCCGGCCACGTTTTTGTCAAATCTCCAGCGTATTGTGAACTTACGTTTGTCGGCAAAAGTTCAATGGTGATTTTTTAACGACCAAAGTTTTAGCCATACGCAAAAAAAATAAAAAAAGTTGGTGGCGCAGCGAGTCGGTGACGACAACGTCGACGCCACGCCGTCGGGTCGTCGCAAATCACGGTTGACGGAGTGACGGTGAGGGGAGTGGGTGGGGGGGGGTTGAGGAGGTGGTCGGTAGGGGAGGCAATTATAATGTGGCATTTTGTCCGGAAATTAAAAACGTTTAATAGAAAAGCCTTTTCTATTCCACCCCGCCGGATGCCTCACGAGGCCGGAACTAAAACAATAGGGACATTTGTAATATTACAACCTTTCGCCGTATATAGCTAAGGGTATTATTACAATGAAAATGTCGAGATTAGAGTATTTTTCGTTTTTATTTTCTGTTATTTTACAATAATATAAATATAATTTTACCTGTCATTATTATTATTATTTTACCTATTTACTTTTTTAAACAAATTTGCGGTAATGCAAAGGATACCTATATTTGCCATTGTTGTCGAATGTAATATGATTTATAATAGATATTTTTCTGAACGAAATTAATGTATACATATTATATAATATTATTAATATCTGAGTGAGTCTAAAAATCCTATTTCAATGTGGTCATATGAAAAAAGAGGAAAATATTCAAAAACGCATATTCATGATTATAGCATCAAATCAGAGTTCTCAGGTATTATACCTAATATAATTTATATATCTGAGTATTATTTTGTAAGTGCATCGCGATGTATCGAATGTAAGTTGGTGTGACGATTTCAAGATATATATAGTTACATCTGAATCATATTTTATTCATTTTTTTACTCAAATCACAATAACCTATCGGCAACCATAAAAAGTACAGTTTTTAACTCTGATATATACAATATACATGTTACTTTTGTTCACTTTCATAAACAAATTGATAGTATTCATTATTTGTCTGCCGTTTTACACTTGACTGTAACACTTTACGATATTCACATTTGGTGCGAACAGTTTTTCATTAAATACAAATGTTTTTACACCAGTGATTACTGATCAAATGTAAAGTGAAGTGGAAAATATTATTATTTGAAAAGACGCTACAACCGCAAAAAATTGTGTCCGTCTTCCAACCGTAAAAAATTGGAGTTAAACAGAACCAATAATGTTTGTTTAGCTTTAATATTAGAGTGTGAGTCTGCTTATTTTTATCAGACACAAATGTGAGAACGTCATCTGTGTTCTTGCGTCGGTTTTTTTTATGATTTATCAGTAAACCTTGAACGAGTTATGACTTATGAGTGTACAAAATATTACAATTTAAAAATGCTCGTGACATGCATTCGGTATCTTTTGAAATATCAATAATAGATCCCACTGTTTATATTATCAAACAGAACTTCTTCGTATTTTTATTAAAACCTTAACTGAGATTAAATTATTCAACTAAAAAATGTGCATGGAAAAATAAATTAGATTATTTAACAGTATTACGTGATATTCAACCAAAACTATCGGAAGAATGTTTCAAATATCATATCATCTGTTATTTATATTCTAATGGGAAGTATGCTGCTTTTAAAGTATTAAATTAATTGATTTTCAAAAGTATAGCCGGTCTTTAATATCTAACCAAGAAAATATTTAATATTCACAGCGTAGCTTTTTTTTTTATCCTCAATAATAAATTCAGATTTACATATTTTATTCAATTTATGACAGTTATATAGTACATGGTTTATTTAATGGGCTTATATTATAATGAAATAAACAAATATATAAATAACGCAATTAATCTATATTTCAGAGTTAAGATCAAATATTTAAACGATAATAATTATACGTCCGTTTTGGATATCATCTGATTGTAACATTATTTAATGAGACTACTGAGAGTGTCGATGCGTACACACCCGCTACTCAAGTCTTCGATATATTTTCATTCAGCATAATATTATGAATGTCAAGCGAAAATAAATATTTTTTAAATTCAACTGTATCGAAATGTGATGATAGCTCGCTTGGATGAATAATTTAAATCAGTGATTTATATGTAAATAATGTAACTTATTAATCATACTAAATGTAAGCACGTCAACATTTTATCAGACAGCAAAGTACGTATTAATAGATAGTATTGAAGATTCTGTTTGTCAGAGTGGCATATTTAATAGGAAAATGTATTTTAATCGACTTAATCTGTACGAATAGCTTTTACGCGAAGGCGCCCTTAAAAGCGAATTCACCGTGAACTACCGAATTTTCGTAAATGTCAACATTTGTGTTTTAACTAGAGAATATCACGAAATGTCTTCTTATATATGAGTTGAGGAACGATGATAATTAAGGTGCACTTTAATTATTTATTTAAATCAAAGTGGCGAAAAAAAATGTATAAAACATTTAACCCTTAATTCGTGTTTCATCACAAAGTGCACAATTTAACACATTTTTGTTGAAATATTGTCTATTGATTTTTCATAAATGGTTTTTACTATTATAATAACTCTCCTCTATATTTATTATTTACTATGTTATCGTGTAACTGAACTCTGAGCTATATTTATTTAAACCATCGTAGGATGAACCCATCTCTACTTGCCTAAATGTTCTTCTCGGTGTCAGAATAGCCTAATGTCTTTAATTTCTGTGTAATTTTCCATTATTTCCATTCGTTATGTAAAGAACAGAAAATTAATTATTTATGTTTTACTTTTAAAACGATATTTATTACAATGAAGGTCTGACAACCGATTTCCGATATCCTGAAACCACTGTCAGTAGAACAGAAACCATTTGCAAATTATAATTATGTTCTACATAGATACATAGTGATGCTTTAGCTGGTAACGCAATAATACAATAATTTACAGTACCTAGTAATAACTTACAATATCGTATACTGCAATATTATCATTATGAACAATAATGTTATTGAAAATATCAGAGTTGATGAGTATATTATTTGATTGATCAAAATACCTCGATTTTAGTGAGATGTGAAATGTGTTTTTAATGTTGTTTATTTAAATTAATTGTAAAATCAACATTACATAATATGGTGTTTAATGTTTATGTCCCGTAAATGATTATAACAATAATAAACAGCCAATTGTCTTGCTCTAATACTGATATAGATATTAAATCGTACAGGAAGCTGTGGCTGTCTCATAAACAACCAAATATAATATAAAAATATACTAAAAGTCTATGCTAGGTAGGTATCATTAAATTTAAAATTCTTTCCTTACGATAAATTCGGGAAAACATACCTCAGAACAGTCGTGTACCTAAAATGCCTACCCAGAACGCCGTGTTATCATAATTATATTGCAATATAATATTATTAACATTATGTCTTGTAAGAAAAAAAAAAAAAACGAAAAAAATTATTGAAGAATATTGAAAATTAGAAAACGGCTGAAACGACAGAGCTTCAACAGTACTTACTCGAGCAGTTAGCATATTTTTTTTTACTATTTATAAAGCATTTTATTTAAAAATACATATACATATATATTAATACATATAAATGAAAATTAGAAAAAGCGTTTGGTATTTTAATTACATGCAAATTCAGGAATAAGCCTTAGTTTCATGTAATAGATACTATATAGTTCGGACTTAAAATAAATATTTTGATTTTTAATTACAGACACAGGAATTCAGCATTAACAATTCAAGGAATTTTAAAGTTATGAATTAAGAAATACACCACAACTTAATTTGAATATCAAAATTTTGCGAACGCGAAAAACGGTTTACGAACGTTTTATATCTTAAACATTTTAACGATGTGGTACTATTAAGTTTTAATACCTACTAATGAAAATTTTGTATTTTTGGCTTAACTTTAAAAACATTAAAAATGCATTATCGTCTTTATAGTATACATAGAGTTATAATTAAATGTGTATGTATATTTAAAATATTAATATCGTTAAATAGTTTATCTCTATAGTCCATGGCTAATGTATTGTAATAAAATAAAATATGCATGTAAATTTCGATTCGATTGTTTATTTTTATCAGTCGTACATTAAATAATTATTTTGAATTAATATTCATCACGTTCTAGTTTAGGTATTTTGAATAATAAAAAACATGTTTCAACATTTTCAACATTTTGTTTTATATTTTAACCAATATTGATAGAAGATAAAAAAAAATGTATAAAAACAACACAAATTTACCTTAAACTTTTTACATAATATAATTCTATAATAGGTCGTAAAAGGGTAATAAATTTAACCATTATTTAATTATATTTAATAATTTATTATACTCATTAAATTAATTGTATTGTTATTTTCTGTTCAGTTTAATGCACCTCTACTTTTATTGTTTATTCAGTTAAATAATATTAATTTTTTTCAAGATTGAACTACCCTTACTTAAAAAATATTATGTAGTTAAATAAAAGTAATTTAAAAAAAATATATTCAATGGGTCCCTATTGATCTGAAATGGCTACCCACATAGTTTGTGTACATTAAAATAAAACAACAAGACAAATAAAGTAACTACAAAACAAAAATAATCATTGTATTTTATTTTATCGATGTTAAGGTTTTTATATACATATTCAATTTTATATTTCTATCATTATGATGGTTTATTTTAAATATATTATAACCATTTGAATAATAAAAGAAGTTATTACTAAAGGCTAATAAAAATTTAAAAAAAAATAAATAAATAATAAAAGAATAAATAATAATCGATTAAT